GAACACAGCCCTTCCTGAAGGATGACCTCTTATCGTCAGAAGGAAGAGATGTTCAATTTCAATTTCATGATTTCTCCCCCACCCCTTAAAAGCAGCATACATTTTATTAGCTTCCCTCTCGGGGAGCCTGTTCTCTGCAGAAGGACCCTTTAAGTGTCTTGGAGTAAGGCAGAGCTGGGCTTAATTAGCTCCTTTGGCTAGGGAAGTGTTAAAACCTGACTCTTGGCACTCTTTCAATTTAGTGCTTTAAAATGATAAGCAGAATCATCTAATTCTATATACAAATCAACTGGCCTGCTACTGCACGGTTGAAAGGGTCACCACAATTATGTAAAACATGAGTAATAACTATAATTGGGGTAGTTGGCTAATACAATAAAAAGCTCTGAACACGAGAAAAGTTATGCTCACCATAGTCACTATCACTTTCTAAAGTAAGAATTCATGGATGAAATGACATGAAAAAGATGGTTATAAAATTTTAATGGAATGATAAAAGGCAAAAGTCAGCCTCTCAGCTGAATTCATAAAATCCCTATATATCACAATGAGCTCCTTAACTGTAAAATCAATGTGGAGCGTAACATGTTGTCAATGCCGCTGTCACTCGAGGGGAGACTGGAAGTCTGACAGGCTCACAGCTCAGCTGCCTGGGGATAAAAATACAAGGGAACGGCTCTCTCACAGGGTGTAATTGTTTGGAGAGCACTCTCCTGGAGCCAGGGACAGGAGCCTTTCCTCTGGTCAAATCACATATTCATTTGTGTTCCTAGAAGTCCACCCTGGTATTAACTTGAGAAAGTAGTTTTCATTTGGCAAAATCAGGCGGTATTTTGAGGGAACCTGTTTTGCTCACCAGTGTCTAATCTGAAGGTGTGACATTGTTAACAGAGGGGTATGCTGCTTTACCATTGACTCAGCTCTGTGTATTGGGGAAGGGGATGTGTGCAGAATCCTGTGTGTGAATAAACACTACAAATGGCTCACAACTTGAGGGTGCATATGGTGTTTGGTGGTTTTGGCTGGTCGCCTACACTTGTTTGCCATGGACTTAACCACGGTTGATTGATCAGTTTTCTGTTATTAGGCTCAAGTGTTGCCCTCAAGCAACTTTTTACCATTCTCATTAAAAAAAAAAAAAAAAACCCTCACTATGCTTAGAAAGTCTTTTCAGTGATAGTAATTCCATAAATAAATATCCCCCAAATTTGCCTTATCATTTAATTAAAAACGAAGATGGTCAATATATGAATGGGCTGCTCTAAGAAGCTATTCAGCACATGGTGACTGTTGAGGTGGCCTTTTGCTATTCATCACTGACATGGAAACATGACAGGTGCTGTCCTCTCTTTAATCATGAATTCTTTTATCTATTTATTATTTATATTCAACTATTTCCCCAAAGAATTTTTGACAGCTCATAAAAAAAGAGCTGAATATAAGAAAACCAATACAAGAAAGAAATCTTCATGTTGAAATAATGAAGAGAGTGCGATCACGCCTCCCCAAACAAATAGAAGGTTAGTCACAGAATTGCGTAGAATGCTGTCTCAGCTTCCTGATAACTCAAGGAAAAATGCAACAGCAGGTCTTGTGATTTAGTAAGACAACATCAGCAGTTGTTGGGCCAGAAAGGGTTTTTAAAAATATCTTTTATTATTTTAGTTTATGTGTATGAGTGTATTGTCTGCATGTGTGTAAGTGCACCTGTATCATGCAATGCCCACAGATGTCAGAAGAGGGTGTTGGATCCCCTGGAACTGGAGTTGTCAGCCACCGCGTGGGTGCTAGGAATCAAAACCAGGTTGTCTGCAAAACAGTCATTACTCTTAAACACTGAGTCATCTTTCCAGCCCTGGAAAGGATAGTTTTTTGACAGTCTGTCAGCAGGAGAACCAATCCAGGGTTTGTCGTTCTCCATTCACATTAGACCAGAATGAGTGGCGGTCAGGAGGAAGGGTTAGCCATCTAGAACGGGGGCATAGGATGGAGTGAATCAGAAAGGGTACTTCCTTTAAAAGTCCGGGGCTGGAGGTAAAATGTGCTGATGTGAGAAGAGAGGAAGGCAGACCCAGGCCTGAAAGAACGTCAGGTCACAGATTCAACCGCTGCAGGGAGCAAAGGCCTCATCTGGGTTCATCTAAGTGTGGCTCATCAGCTTTGCTCACAGTCCCTGTCTCTGACCTCCCCCAGTAGCTCTTTCTGACCAGGAACAATCTTTTCTATCCACTTGCCTTAATCTTGGAAAATTGGGGTTTCTGAGTTCATGGTCGAAATGGATGAGATAGTGTGATTGAAAGAGTCTATTTTATTATTAGAGTGTGTTTCTTATAGGCACAATCTGTATGATTTATTATTAAAGGTGATTATGAAAACAGCCACCTGTTTTGCTAATAACTAGAAGTTTTCAGGGGTTTGAACCCTACAAGAATTTAAGATTTGAGGGTCTTTACACTGGCTGTTAATTATCCTTGTATGGCAATTGCCATGCAATCACCTTACATAGTCCACTGAGAATTTTCAAATATGGCTAATCTAGTTGTTCTCAAAGCTGGAGAACAAAAATAGTTTATGGAATGTTCAAGAGATAATGTAGCTTAGATGACAGAATAGACTTCCAAGAGGTCTAATACAGAAGAGGTGCTCAATAAAATTGAAGCCCTTAATAGTAAGGCAGTTGTGATAAAATTACTTAAATGTAAGGAAGGCTAGAAAGGGCTTGATTTCTCATCACTTTTTATACACTTTTCTTCTGAAAGATATAAGCAATATTGGACCTCGAACACTCCACAGCACTCCAAATTTGAAAGCGGCATGCTTTACGTGTTGAAAGGGGATGCTGAAGCAAAGAGAACAAAATTCTCCACTTATCAGTCCCACATTTCAAACCATTTTCTGTTGTTCACA